CCCAGACAGTCTATTATTTACCTGATTGTGAGGGGAAATTACTTCCAGGCTATCTGGAGAATACCTAGAAGATAAAATTGAGTTTTGCATTCAGTTGTTTGTACATCGTTTCATACCTAATAGCTAGACTTGGCTGGAGTCCACACAAAGAAAAATTAGGAGACATCAACTCTTATAATTGCAACTGGCTCATCTTCACTTGCCTGGAAGAATCAGCATATGGCAAATTCTTTCTTCCTAAATGAACTTTCAGCATAAGAAAGCTGTCAAGTTCCTAGCTCTAGAGACACAATCCCTGTACCTATCCATGCCAATTCCACATGCTGAAGGTCTGTCCTGGAGGGCACTTCCTTGGGGTGAATCAAGTATTTTGTCTTCTTAGCAAGATCTTCTGCTTACTCCTGCTCTTGCTCTTGGGAAATGAGTGCTCTCGTATAACTAAGGGTTCAGGGGCTGCGTCATGTCATTGCATGGGCCGTTTCGGAGCAAATTTGATTTTGGTCCTTACCAGTAGCAGAAATGCAACCTATCTTTTCAGTTCCCAGATCGTGGCTCCTCTCTGCTTTCTAAAGTGCTAACAGAATTATTTTAGGAATAAAATTGTAAGTGATAGAAGTGTAGCCAGTGAGAAAATTCCTCCAAAAAGTGAATCAAGAGAGGCATTAAGATATTGGGAAAAGAGGAAAGAAAAGAGGGGAAGGGACTAATTACCCTTTTGTTTTCGCATTTTCATGGCATTGCCTTGAAATTTCCTGTGTCTTTTGAATTTCAAAACAAAGTTCTAACGCATGAATGTGTATGAAGTGTTTTTTTTTTCCACTAGGACTTTAGTGTTTGAAAAACAATCATGATTTTGACTTCATTTCTCCTATAGCACTGTAAATTAGAAGCGATTATATAGAGACCATAGCAACCTTAATTAGACTCCTCATTAAGACTGTAACCTTTATCAGCATTCTAGGATGACCCAAGTGTTCGCTAAATAAATCTTTGTATAAAATGTCTCTCAAGTGAGGTTGGTGGGAGCTTTACCGTTGACTTCACTAAAACTAAGATCTTACGCTGTAGCTTTTTAATATACCATCAGCCTGATTCAAGGTTGTGTGACACAGTGATTTTTCTTATCTTCCTCCAGCTATTCTGTCTGTTTTGTAATTATCTACTGCTTCTCCACGCATTGGAAACAAGATTGTACTTCTAATAAATGTTGAGAGGTTTGAGGTTTTTCTGAATAGACTACAGAAAGATCTGTAACATGTTAATAGTACTCTGTGATCTCAAAATGCTCTTTTTCAGAAACTGAGTTCACAATTAAATTTCCTAAACAGTCTCCACTTAGATCAGTTGGGCCTGATCTAATAATCTTGCAAAGAGTGAGTAAGACTGCCTGTTTACTGAAATTCTCATTTTAGTTGGTGCAGGAAGGAAGTTCACTGACCATCTTACTGATGTCAGATATACATTTCCAGCTATTCAAACACAATCATCTTCAAATATTGGATGACAGAGAGTCAATGATAGAGACTCATTGACTTCTCATCTTTGCTTTCTTTGCATCCTCATAACACCTCATTATAGAAGAGCGCAACTTTGGTATTTTGCACACCTGAGTCACTCAAATAATCTAATTGTGGGATTTCCTTTCCTCTTTCCACTTAAGTTTTTGGTGGTGACCAACCTATTGCAGGGAAGCTAGGTAGCTCTGGTCTCCTATTAGACCTACTAAAGAGTCTGTTCTCTTTACCAGACAACAGGGTGGCTTATCTTTTTCAAAGCTGATAGGACAGTTTGGAGCTAAAAACGCTTTGAGAGATTTCTGCCAGCTGCTGGCATGCAGGAAAGCAGTGTGGGGAGTGAGGGCGGAGGGGGAGGGCTGTGCCTTGAGCTCTGCTCTTACAAAAATGCATGGTAGATAAAATAAAATAGGCTAAGGCCATCCAGATAGGAACTGCATGCTACCTAATACCTTTGTCAACAGCTTCCCATTTCCCTGGCTGTGGTATTTCCCTGATATTTCAGCTGTACAACAGAAGGTTAAACCCTAATGGAGATGGTCTCCAAGACTGAAAGAAGAATGGTGTGCATCCCTCTGATCTGCCTGATAGTCCGTCTCCTGCGGCTCAAGTACTGGCTGTGCAGAGAAGGCTCTACCAGGACCAGCTGGTGTGGTGAATGCATCTTCTCCACCTTTTCCCATTTTCCAGCTATTTCACCACACAGAAACTGGGTATTCACAGATATGTATAGAAACTGGAATTTTCTCTGGCTTCCTGTATGGAGAAACTTTTCCTGGCTGATTATCTCAGGATTATTGCAAATAACACATATGCCAAAACAAGAGACGGATCTGAATACTGCTTGAAAGGGAAGAGGTTAATGAAGTAGAAGAAATGTTTTACAGAATAGAAATCAGCTAAATAAAAGCAACTTAATTCAGTAACCAATTGCCCAATTCAGTTTTAGCCATGAGGAGGTTTGTCAGTTCCACTTAAAATAAAATTGGGTGAAAGTCAAATGGTTTAGGCTTTTGGGGAAAGGAGAGAACTGAGAGACTGAAACAAACCGGCACGTTTACATACTACTGGATAGCAGGAAGCAATCAGAGTAGCATCATCTCATTTATTCACATCCCAGGGCGTGATCCTGGCCATGGTTTTCAAGGTTTACGGGAAATAGCTCCTCCAATCTTACTGAAACTCAGTTGGAGCTGGCTGTCTAATTTCCTCCCCTACAACTCTCATTTTATATGAAGCAAACCAGCACAAATGGCCAAAAGCAACATTCCTCAGGTGACAGCACTGCATTCAGCATGCTATGTTCTGGGCTCAGAAGTTCACTGGAAGAGTAATTGTGGTTTAAATTGGCAGTACCAACAGGGATGTGACAACAGGCTTCATCATTATTTAAGGCTGTCATTTAAATAGCAATTTCCACAAAACAAAATTTTGAGAGGAGGAAGGTAATGTTTTACATGGGAAAGGGAAACTGCTGAATGAAGAGGCTCACTTCCAGTCAACCCTTTCAGCTGTAAAAGGACATCTTAGAAGCTTCAAAGTTCCCTGTTATTGTATATGAATTTGCATAAATCTCTCATCCCAGAAATGAAAATACCAAATGCCTCAAGCCACAGAATACTTTCAGTGCATTTCTGAGTCCACTGTGACAAAGAAGCGCTGGCAATCTCAGGGAGATGAGAGCAGTCTCCCGAGACTCTACTCTGATTTCCTTTAGAAGTTGGAACAGCACAGGTGTAAAATGGCTTCAAAGGAAATGTTTTACTCAGTAACTCAAAACCAGGTAACTGAAGTATCTTCAAACTGTAGTCCTGTGATGTCGATCAGCATTTACACAAAATTCAGAACCAAATGTTATGATTTGCCTTTTTCTGTGGACCGTCTCATATACTCGTTGACTTTTGCTTTCCTACTGCCAGGGACTGAATACTCTGTTTCTCTTTACACTGCATTTGGAAATTCTGTTGAGTTACATGCATTTGTCCTGTTTCAGTCTGCTAAGTGGCCTTCGTCTTCTTGTGAAGGTCAAGAATAGGAAGAAGATTGTAATAAAATGGCATTTTTCAAAATATGCTTTTTTATTAGCATTAAATCTTGGAGCAACTGCTAAGAGAAGAGAATCGTAAATGTTATTGGGCACTTTTAATTATGGTAAAGGACAGTTCCAAGTTATATTATCCTTTCCTTCTCTATATTCAGCACAAGTCTTTCTAGAATAAAACTATAACACTGAGCCCTGTCAGTATAGTCTTATCTGAACTTATATACCAATTGAAGCCAAATGCTGTTTGCTTTCAAAGCCAGGTAGACCTATCAAACTCAATAGAAATATCAAATAAGTTAAGTGAAGGCAATGTGACACTCACTTTTTTTGGCTTGAAGTGAACAATGCGAAAGACTATAATTTACAGTTTATAAATATTCATGAGGAAAAGCTTAGCTTCTGAGATACTAAAATTTTTTTTTTTTGAATTTTTGCACTGAACTCTGGGGAATTTGGGTAAAGTAAGATTAAAAAAAACCCCTCACAACTAAAATGGTGTCATCTGAGATTTATCTATGAGGCAGCGTGGGATATGTTCATGTTCCTTGGGTCAGAGCCCTGGGTTTAAACGCTGGCTTGACTTGTGTTTGGACTGCTGAAATGACAAGGCAGGACTATGGTTCTGCTGACCCAGTTCTCTCATCTGAAAATCTCTTGCTCCTGTGGAGTGAGAAATACAAGGCAGCACCAGCCTGTGCTCAGCTCCTTACGGGGTTGGAATTAGCTAGTATTTTTGGTAAGCCTTCATTTTCAAGCTGCTTTCGATGTGAATTCTTTTTTCTGCTTCTTTGCCATGTACATTTATCCTTAAACTGAACTTACTTCTCCACTCCACCAGTACTTATCTACCGCTTTGCAGACTGTGATTTCTCAAGCACAAAAACCAAACAGAACTCGGTAGAGTTTTGAATTAAGTGTGAGCTGGCAGCTTAAAAAATTAGCAGTTCTTTCCTCTTTATCCCTGGGCTATGTGAAAGAGGAGGCGAATTAGCTCCTCAGTGACGGCTCAAACGGACTGCAGGTAGGCTCCTGCTCACCCACCCGTGCCGTGGGGACAAATACACCCGTCTACCGTGGCACCCCGCGTCCCGTAAGCCTCGCCGGCCAGCAGGTGGCCGGACCTTGGCTCTTGGCACTTCCCGCGTAGCCAAAATGAGTCCCAGCCCCGGACAGGCTGATACACAGCGATTCAGATGGAAAGCTTCAAGCAGTGGGATTTTTAATATGTTTAAATTTAAACGTTGCCAGCTGGCTCCCACGCCCTCAAGGATTCGTGCTGTGACTTTAAAGACGCACTTTTAATTCTTGTCCCCCCTGGCATAAGCTAACACAGGAATTTCTTAGGGAAAAGGATGCGAGAAGGATGGGCCACAAATGATGCTGAATCGTCATGCTGGCTCTAGTGCAAAGCTCACTGAAGTCAATGGCAGCTCTGTACAGCCTTCAGTGTGTGTTTGCTCAGGAAGCGTGAGCGTATTCGTGTGCAAGCAGAAGCACAAAAAGATGCAAATAGTCTGCTTCTGTCAGCTTTGCTCTTCCTGAAGGTACGTGCATGGCTTTTGCTTTGGATTTCTTCTTTCTTTTTTTATTAAGCAAGGATATATTGCGCTAGGGATGTTTTAACAAAGAAAAAAGCATATTTTTTTTCCCCTGGAATTGGTTGTTATGCTTCATCCTTTTGCTCACTAGAAAAACCAGTGAAATGTGAAAATTTTCAGCATTCTCATTTCGTTTATCTGTGAGCATCCAGGCTGCACGCTGAGGTCATTACTATCTCAGGTGTATTACCTCACCGCAGCCCGTTGCTATGGAGATAGCTCCATGCATGTTCAGTACCTTTTTGGTGGTGTACATGCGTCTTGGAAAGAAAGGCTGGATACCAGGGAGCAAACTTTCATTTTAAAAGACGCTGATTCAGATGTAAACGTTTACAGGTATTTCAAACTTTGTAGCTGCCTCTAAATCCACCAACGTTTGCGGGTGATTTTATGCAAGCACGTTTCCTCTTTACTTGCCTGATTTTTGTCCCTTTCGTCTATGGGAAAGTGATTTCTGAAGAAAAGGAATGGACAGAGAATATCAAAAGTTTAGAGAAAAGGAAGAAACTTTTCTCCTCACCTGCGTCTTTCAGTTTCCTAGGTGTTCTTACGGGTTGCTCACAGCAATATATCTACATAAGTACTGTGTCTAATGTGCTGCTGCATTTAATAATAGATCAAGCCAGAGATAATGTCATACTCTGCCTGATATTTTTTTTTGTTTTATTTTAATTGTCTTATTCTCTTAATACTGCTTTAGTAATTATCAAATGGCTTTGGCATAGTTCAGACTCGTTCAGATTGTATTGCACCTTTCATTTAAGGTTCTCCAAGACTTTTATGCAAGTGAAGATTGGATCAAACTGCTCTTACCTCTCTGAGGGAGTATACAAAAGCTATCGCAATATTCTTTCTTCCAGGTGTAGGCTGTAATTGCAGACCCGGTGGTCTAAAACAAATACCACTGACTTTTGAAGAAGGGTGGAGCATTTTATCTGCATCTCTGCTGTGCTCCAGTTATAGATAGCAAAAGTGACAGACTAGAGCATCCAGTGATCCCTGGCTGCCTGATGTCCCCTGGAGAGTTATTTGCAGCTGGATTCAAATTAAAGGCAGCTGTGAGTGCTGATCTTAAATATCTTGAATTTTAAAGAAAATCTCATCTCCCTTTCACAAACTTCAAGTCTGGGAAAACCCAAAGGTGGCATAAAACAGAGTTTTTTGTGTGTGTGTGTTTTCTTTTTTTTTCCCTGCCCCTTACTTTTTCCAAGAAGTAGTACTCCTGTGATCTGGGCATTTAGCCTGGTGGTAGATGTTTTTACTAGAGAAGGACAGGCAAACCATGTCCATAGGAAGGAAGCGAGGGCATTGGCAGAAGCACTTCCACTGTGGGAGATGTGTGGTAATTGTCAATTACTTACACGCTGTCTCTGTCCTTCTGTTGCCACAAAGTTTTATGCCCTTTATTTTTTCCCTAGGATGGATTTCAGAAACCTCAAGTAATGCAGTGAGCAAGACTTATGGTTTTAATCTACCCAGTTTTGGATGCACAGTACAGTAGGACTGAGCAGTCCCCCTGTATTTCCTGCTCATTTGATTGTGCTGTAAACTTTTGTTTGGTACAGTGCTCTAGAGACTTTCTAGCAGCCAGCTACTAATTTCTGTAATCCTGTCTCCCAGACTGAGGAATACGGGCTATATTCTGCTTCCACACTTTCCTCAGAACATAATTATTTCCATTGAGGCTGGGCAGGTATAGTAGAGAGGCGAATTTCATCCACCCAGCTTAACAGACCTTGTGAGATTCACTTCTGAAACTTCAGTATCAGTGATCATCAGTGAATTTAATCAGTGCAATGAATAGTTTCCTAGTATACCTGCCTGGTCACTCCTGGGGGTAATTGGTCCATCCAGATTGCTGGGCTGGCTCAAGCAGCAGCCATGAGCCTGAGATGGTGTAAAACCCAATGTAACATCAGAGTGTTTGATACCATAGTAGGTATAATGGGAGAGTTCTTAGGATTTCTTTCTAATCCTGGCTAGTGATGGACTTATGCTTTGAAGCTGTGAGATTTGATTACCTCTTCCCCCCGCCCCGTTCATGTACCGAAGACACATATGCTTTTTTCCCTGATTCTTTTAGGTGTAATTGGATGGGGGTGGGGTGGGGAGGGAGCAGTTAAGGATGAAGGGGTAGCAATAACACAGAATATCTTTGCTTCCTAACATCTGAGTCCCAATCTTGCGGTTATTCAAGCACATATTTTATGTTTGCACTTAAAAGAACTTTTTTTCCCAAGCATTAAAATCCCTTAGAGAAGAAGATGCTGTTTTTATTATTGCCTTCTCTTTCATTTGTCTTTTTTATGATGTACAGAAATGGAACTCGTGGTGAGATCCTCATCTGATAGCAATTGACAGTGCTCCATTGACTCTGAAGAATCTGTGCCTAGTTAAACCCAGCAGGATCAGGTTATCAGGCTCAGAAGTCATATTGTACCTAATATGTAGCAATAGAATTTGGCTTGATATTTGGTATTCTTGCTGAGCATGATGTCTGGTATATACAAGCTTATACCTACTTTAGAGAGTTTGAGAAATATATTGTCAAATTAATTCTGGTGCCTAATACCTTAAGTTCCTGGTTTTGTGAGTGGGATGCAGAGTTTTTACTGTGATCATAAATGGAAGGCATTGGTACCATTGATATTGTGGTTTAGCATGCTATATGTGGCACTGAAGGTTAGTCAACCCCTTCCGCCAACCCCCAAAAAGGAGAGAGAGAGAAAAAAAAGAGAGAAGTCCCTGCTGCCAAAACGCTGTTTAGAAGGCTCTTATCTGCAAACATTTGCTATAAACTTAAGCATCTATTACCAGCAGTGTGCATTGATAGGAATTCCTTGTATTAGGAAGCACACTGTTCCTGTAGCATGTCTCACTGCACATACCTTGCAAAGAATGAAAATAACAGGCAGTGATGGAGGAGAGAAGCGCAGGGATTGAATGAAAGGGGTCTTAGCTCTTCACTTTTTGTTTGGTGATGAAATCCTGTTTGGGAGGAAATCATCAGAGGTTTGGCCATGAACTATGTGGGGACCAGGATGTCATGACTTCTTCCACTGACTTCTGTGTTTTTGTATGAGTACATAAATCTGCCAAATATAGGTGATTTTTTGTTGAGGATTGGAGCGGGGAAAGGGGCATGTCCGCTGTTGCAAGTGTTACTGGTGTTAGTAGCAGCGGTGATAGAAACATGGAGCACAAGCAAAAGAGGCCATCGTCTTTCAACACCATTGCTCATACAGTTACTTCACAGAGCTTTAAGTGATTATATTAAATATCCATAGCAGACTGTCATGCTAAGCTCCTGCTCCTGCTATTGCCAGTGGAAATGTACTGTCTTAGGGAATAGTGGGAAGTCTCCTTTTCTGCAAAAGCTCTTGCATATACATGCACTACTTCCAGAGATCATAGGAAAAAAAAATCACATTCAGAACAGACTAGAATGAGAAGGGTACCGAGTTTGCCAGCAGGTTTTGACAGAGACCTTAAAAAGTGGTGACTGACCTTGGGAAAATTCACTTTGGATCCCCAAACAGAGATGAATTCAAAGCTAATGACTTAGAAGGATTAGGCACTCCACACATTATAATGATGTGGATGGACGTCTATTATTCTTTCTGCTTATGCTGCTTTATAGCTCACTATGTGCTGGCCGCTTTCCATTCATACTGATCTGTCCCCACACAAACCTGTACCTGAGAAAGCGATGTGTAAGAGACAAAATAACAGAATGAATATGCTGCTCAGATGTCAGATGTCTTGGAAATGGATCCATCTGATTCTGTTTTTATGTCTATGCTTAAAATATGTCATACTTACTTATAGAACTATACTGTTTTTTTCTTCATTTTTAGCACAGAAAGGAAAGCCAAGATCTAAACAAGAGTTTAAGGAGGAAGGAAAAAAACCAACCAACACTCCCTTCTTTTCCAGCATTGTAAATTCCAATTACAGAAGTGTAGACAGATCAAGTGCTGGGCCATTTCTTTCCTTCAGCTGTCAGTTTTGCAGTTTTTTGTTTATGCTTACGAGAGATGAAGAATGCATCCATTTTTTAAGATCTCCATATAAAATACTGGTGTATCCATTCTGATCCTGTATTCTTTGCACATCAACATTTGCAGCGAAGGCATGAGGACAAAGAAGAATTCAGAATCAGGCCCCTAGCCAGAAATATGTGAAAACTTAAAAGCCAAGCAGAATAATTGGATCTTTGCTAACAAACTGACAGTAACTGTCATAGATAATCAGATTAACATGGCAGAAAGCCCTGAAAACAGTGACAAAGTAATGTTCATTTCTTACCCACAGGAAGCCTAGAATTTAACAAGCCAAAGAACAGGCTAGCTGTGCATAATGTCATTATCAAAGCCAAAGCGATGTTCACTGTCACACCTCTATCTATTTCTTAAACCTTTTGAAGAAATTGAACATCTAAAAGTGCTTTCCAGAAAAACCTAATTATTTATCCCCAGCACCCATGCACCCAAGGTATATGCTTCGTGTAATTCTGATTTCCACCCTTTAAGTCCACTGCTGTCAACTCAGTCACTCCTCTCATTTTGCAAAGGAGCTTGTGCACTCTGGTCACAACCAAAGCTGGACCGTAATGAAAGGTGATATCTACCTGAACCTGTTCTCGGAGTGACAAATTCAAAAATAATACTGGAAAAAGGAGCAAGTGGTTATTCATTATTTTTAGCAGGGCAGAGTGCATAGGAAAGGCATTCTCACAGAGCTGCTGTCTGCTGATAAGATGTGTATGCAAAAGACACACACAACCCATTTGATTGGGCCTTTCACAGTCAAAATTAGGATATACCAGGAAAGAAGAAAAGGATAAAAAGGTGGCAAAAAGACAAAAGTAAGCCTATTTCCAAATCTTTCCCCTTTAGATATCATATGTAGTGCTAACCAAATCCTAATTTTTAAAATTCATATTT